GGTGAGCACTTCTGCCCCATATTTACAAAAAATTATCTATCAGTTTTCACATGATTACATGCATAGCAGATACTCCCTATGCTGTTTTTATCAAAATGAACTATCAACTGAAATATTCCAGCAAAAACACTATTCTTTCTTTAACAAAATGTCCTGAAAGTGACTTACACGGCCTATGGTTTCTCGTAAAACGTTGCTAGAATGAACTCATGATGGTGTAATGCATTGATAACCATCAGAATGACCATGCTTCCATACAGTCATTACTTTACCAGGTGAGCTGGAAAAATGCTGATAGATGCCACAGAATGGTCATCTGTCCATCACCCAATCCTGACTCCCTTGTGCCTGCCCTCAATATTATGTGTTATCCCCTCGCACTCCTAACCGGAATTATATTCCCAACAATCTTGGGCGGTGGAACAGTGTATGTGGATGGTGTCACACATCAGTCCATAGAGAAGAGAATAAATCCCTGGTACTTCAAAGTCCTAAACGTGAAATTCTTTTTATTGGCATGACAGGATAGGTCTCACAATGTGTAGCAACATTTCAGAACACAATTCAGTTCCTTCTTAAGGCAAACAATGTGATTGCATGCTATCCTGTTATGCCAATAAAAAGGATTTGACGGTTAGGACTTTGGAGTTCCAGTGATTTCTTCTCTTCTCTATGCCCCCAATATTACTCTCACATCTGCTACTTCAGAATTGGAGATTGAGCCTGCCAATGACAACAGCAGAAAATCTGTATATGGAAAGTCCACTAGTTCCTCAGGAACATGCCGAAACACTGAGACATGAAACACAAACTGAATTGGTGAAAATGGTGACTTATGGTATGTATGTGATCTCATCACAGACCACTCTTGAGACTCTGTATCGGGCTAGTTGACCACAACTGGTACAATATTTGTGAAGACATTTAGAATTTCTGCTTTGAATGAAGACCTTCAGATAGAGGAATTTGAAAGAGGATTCATTGGGACTGTATAAAACAGAATATTTACACTTAGGACCTATCACATGAATGGATTTAATTAGTCCCGCATTAACCCTTTCTCTCTTTCCTCCAGTGTGTCTTTCAGGAGGACTTTAATCAAGAGAGTTTACAAGAAAGTCAATACTGGGAGCTTTCTAAGTGTCAGGGTGACTGGTATTACTGTAAATGGCTTGTCTTCCACTTACAATAAAAAAACACATTTATTTAAATGTCTTCACAAGCTGAATGAATCTGTATAGATCGCCCTCCTATTCTCTTAAGTCATTGAAAAGGACTTACAATTTATTCAATAATTCATCATATTCATTATTAATAAGGGGTGATTAAATGAGTTAGCCATGTATAACTGCAGTGAATTTAATGTGTTGAATAATATGCACATGCTTCAGTGTTCAGTAAAGAGATGGAGGTTAAAACTGACAAAGAGATACATTTAATGATGAAGTACAATATGACAATGTCACTGCAAGGTTTATGGACAAATAAAAGCTACACAATAATAAACTTTGTATAGGTTTAGGGCATTTTATCATCATTGTTTAGCAGGTTTGACAAATCCTGTCCTATATGATTTATACATTGGCAGACAATGAAATGCCACATGTTCATTATAGAGATGAGCCCAATAAAACGCTTCTGTAGCAGCTCCTGGGAATTACACCTGTCAATCTTCCATTTTACAATGATACCTAGAATGTAGCAACAGAACAGAATAATCTTTCTCCCTTGCTTTTAATGTTTGCAATATTTTATCTTTGGTTACCAACAAAAGACATGTTTTATATTCAAAGTTATTCAGTTAAACATGTTATGCATACTAAAGGTGAACCCTACTCAGGATAAAATTGCCAGTAAATTTACATACTATCAGATTATGTGCATTTGTTTTTTTTTGTTTTTTAGCTGCACCAGTACCAGACCTGAAGGATCCAAGGTAGTTTCAAATCACGTGTTTCACTTTTCTACATGTTGCTCTGTTAGCTTATAGCAGTCTTTGGGGTTCCCTCATGTGGTACATGAAAGGTTAGAAAAATAATTATCACAGGATAAGCCACTTAGTGAATTTCATTGACATCTAAATAAAAGAAGCACAGCATGTAGGTTTATTGAACAAACATTGTTTTATGCACGTTTAAAAGTAAAACAATAAATAGGAACATATTTCAGATTGTCATTAAAGTGAAATCCAATCCCCATTCTGTTTATCACCTGTATTCACCTATACTGGTCAAGCAGTGTTCTGACCAGGAAAACCTGAAAGACAAAAAAAAAAACCCTGAAACATTGTAAACCTTGTACTACGTGCTGCTACACCTTACCCTTCTGCATGGACCGATAAGTACGGTACTTTGTGATAAATACAGCCTTGGAGCAATGGGTATTTCTCATCTCTCCATTGTCAACAATTTGTTCATCATCTTCTATACCTTCTCAGTTAAACTAAAGTGAATCTAAACCGAAAAACAAAACTGTAATATATTTACAGCTTATTAATCCTTAAATGTGGTGGCTGCATTCATTTACTTTTTTTATGGCTTTTTATCCTTTATTTTCACTTGGTGATCTTGCCAGTAACACACTTCCTGTCTTAAGGTGCCCATACACTGCACGATTCTCGTATGAGAATCGCGGGAAATCCCGTGATCGTACGAGAATCATGCATTGTGAATGAAGGCGTGCGACCGTTTCTACTGTACGGTCGCACTTCTTTTGTCTAAGGAGCATGTTAGAAAACCAGCCGAAAATCCTACGATTTTCATGTGGTTTGAATGATGCTCTGGAGACGAATGCCGAATGGGCCGGTGTGCGCACGCGCACGCTGCCCGTTCAGCATTGCGGTCATCGGAAGCCCGCCCCTCACCCGGGCCGGGCTTGCCATGATCGCAAGTACGATTTGTCTGTCCAAGATGGGCAGATCGTACATTTTTTTAAATTACTTTACAACCAACGCAAGGCTGAGGTCTTGCGATGGTTGTAAAGTGTATGGGCACCTAGGGTGGCTCCAGTTTATGGAGGAGCAACAGAGCCACCCTTCAACAGCAGAACTATCAGCCTGTGAAGCGGCTAGTGTTAGATGCAGATTAAGATGGAGATGACTAACAAATTAAAGTCAAACTCCACTTAACACTTTTTAAGCAGTTAGAGCGACAGCTTTTTAAAACTTTTGGGATAAATGCTGCCTAAAAAAGCCTAAAAAAACATCTAATGCAGCCACATACAGTACATTTACAGAGGAATAATTTTCATAGTTCCACATATGGACACTTTATTTACTGTTAAACCCCTTTCACACAGGTGGTCCAATCGGGTCTGCCTGTCAGTTTATCAAGCGGACCCAATCGCATGGTCAATGTAAATCTATGGGCAGCCATGTGTAATTGGACGGGCGTCCGTTTACATGTGATAACCCCTGCCTCCGGCCAGGTCCAGCAAAACAAACGGATCAGGGATCTGTTTCGCTGGACCTGATTGTGCCAGATTGGGGGTAATCTGATGTAAATGCACACATGTCAGTTTAAAATTAAGAAACATGGAGCAACCCTCTTGTCTCCAATCCCGCTGCTGGAACCTCAGTGCCTGGTAAAGCTTCCGCCAAAGCCTTCACTAAGCAATAGGTAAAAACCGGCACTCAATACTTTATTTGCAAAAAGGCATGAAAGCAGCAAACAAACAAATGATTATCTGGCTATGACTAAGGCCCAGTTTGGGGGCTGAAACATGTAAGCATTTGTTTGTTTGCTGCTTTTATGCCTTTTTGCAAATAAAGTATTGGATGGACAGATCCCCTTACGAGTGTCGGTTTTTACTTATTACATGTCCGTTTACATCCAATTCCCCATAGACTGACATGGGGTCCAGCAGTTTCAGTTATTTCCTCCATCGCAAGGTGGAGGAAAAAACTGTACGGACACGAATGCTCTGATCAGGAGGGGATCCATGCACAGATCCCCTCCTGATCAGCCTGTGTGAAAGGGACCTAATTAAAAAGTTTCTTACAGATTGCTATCATGTTTTTTATATGATGTAAATGTTTCTCCAGGTTTTTTAGCCCATAACCTTCACAATCCTCTTCTTTATAATGAGTAATAGTATATGATATCCTTAAAGTACAGCTAGTCATTGTCACAGTTTTTGTCACACGTGGTTGAAATTATAGACAATTATAGACAAATTATAAACATATTAGTCTGACTACATAAAGAAAAAATTTGAAAGATGACTATACTCTAAATAAAGTTGGGGCAATATGCCTCCTTCCCATACCATATAGATAACCCAGTAGGCCTCAGATCAACCGGTGACTCTCCAACCACAATGTCGGCTTGGATGGCTCTTCAGTCCTCACTGAGCTGGTGGGCTACACTGTACTTCCTTTGCCAAAAAAATGCTGTTGCCCAAGTTAAAAAGGACAAAAGAGCCATCTTAGCCAGTGTAAGGCACGGCCGGTGGAGGTGCTCCACTGCTCCACTCAGTGGCGGGAGGAGATAAATCATTCTTCCACTTATGGAGGAGCATATGACTCACTCCATGGGACAACATTGAACCAATCAGAAGTGGTGAGGGAGCTAAATATATGTGTCTGTGGAGATCTGCATCAAAGTGAACCTGCAAAGCATAGAGATACTTTAAAGTATGGTTACATAGTAGTAGTACTGCTTTATTTGGAGGTAATTCTTTATTTAGAATAATAACTGTACATTTTCCAAGACCAGCTTCTGCAAACTTTTGCTGTATTACTAGACAAAGAGAGTATATGTCTTCAAATGTTAATGTAGCCCACAAAACACAAAAACATTCTACTTTTTGTTTTGTTTTACCACAGTAACTTCATTCTGGAGTTTAAAGATGTCCATAAATGTCACAATCTATGTTGCTGCAGGTGTGTAATTAAGCTGCTTGCATTCTTGGAAGCCAGTATTATTCATGTTCTACATACCTGAGATAAACATTTTAATCTCTTTATGCCATATTCAGTTGTCATGTTGCTTTGCTTTCAGCCCACATGGCAGCAGCTGGATCCAGTTCCTAGTGGAGTGGCACACACGAAGCCTGACATTGGGGGATGGCTCTTCATATTTCTGCAGTCTCCATGATTCTCTTGGCAATCATGGCTTCAGCATCATCTGCTTCAATCAATCAGGAGGATTATCCTGCCGATGAAGGAGAACAGGCATCCAGCAATGACAACTTAATATTTGATGACTACAGGGGCAAGGGTTGTGTGGACGACAGCGGATTTGTCTATAAACTAGGGGAGAGATTTTTCCCAGGACACTCTAACTGTCCATGTGTTTGTACAGAGGATGGACCTGTTTGTGATCAGCCAGAGTGTCCCAAAATCCACCCCAAATGCACTAAAGTGGAACACAATGGATGTTGTCCGGAGTGTAAGGAAGTGAAAAACTTTTGTGAATATCATGGGAAAACTTATAAAGTCCTGGAGGAATTTAAGGTATGGGTATAATGTTTTACCTCTGTAAAGTAAACCAAATGTATGCTTGCTCTTCCCTTTTTGGTGTAAAGAGAGGTTTCAGGAACAAAGATGAAACTTATCATTGAGTAGAATTCCTTTGAAGTGGCTCTGTCTTGATAGAATTGCAGGGGGCTGCCATTGACAGCCATCTTCTGAAAATGCTAGATGCCTGACTGTGTCTTACTGTGGTATGTTTCAGTCACAGAGCTGGAATAAGTGTCAGAAAAGTGTTAGAACTACTTATCTCTTAACTTATACTTGTTTGGAGTCAGCTCCGCAGACAGCATTAAAGTTATAGTATCAGAATAACAGCCAGGGAACTAGGATTCTCAAAGAAGAATTAAAGAGTAATTACACTTTTGTTGAGAAAAGAATCAATCCTCTATGGGTGGTCTGTGTACATAATAGGGATTTTAACCAACTTTGTTTCCTACCTGTTCTGAAGAAAAAGCAGTGTGTTGCAGATTGTCCTTTCTAAACCGATTCCTAAATGGCAGGATCTGGGTTCATTATAATCAGCCGATGGGCTTCCAGTGTTGTAATAAGGAAAGGTGCAGTGTTTGCATTTCTTTCGTATTAATTAACCCTTTGGGGGTATCTCACCAAGAATGAAATTCCTATTGCAAGGGTTGCCAAAAATTGTAAGTGATATTCCTGCGGGTGTTCCGTACAGTTTTAAACGGAAAGGTAACTTTGAATTATATTAATTTACAAAATTGCTTGTGCCATAATTATATATGCGATATTGATTTTTTAAAGATTTTTTCATTTTTTAAATATTTTTAAAGTGGAGTTACCCTTTAAGGAGTAAAAGCGTATATTAATATCTCGTGACAATGTCCCTTTATATTTAAAGACTACTATACCTATTTACATAATTTTCATAGAAACAAGCCTGTGGTGTGAAAGAAATACTGACCTCTGTTTGAAAATGCTTATTACTTGACTGTCATGTTGATTCAACAACTTCAACACTGTCTCATTGCAAAAAACAAAGGGGCACTTTTTGCATCAAGAGTACAGAGTAAAAGAGGTTTAACCTTAGCATACAAAAAGGCTTCTTCACAGTAAGAGCTATGCATGCATTCCTAAATGAGCAAAATATTAATCAATATTAACATTTTATTAGTAAAAAAAACCACCAGATATTGTTGATTCAGGGAATATCGAATTGCCTTAGAGCACCAGGAAGGATTTGTTGTTGGAAGGATCTGTGAGCATTGGATTCTGTTTATGGAGGTTTTTCTATTTTTTTTTCCTATAGGTTGAGTTTGATGGACTTATTTTTTTCTCAACCTGACTAACTATGCAGCTCTGTAACTATATAACTGTCTAATTCAATGACCAGAAAAAGTAAGCAGCTCATGAATTCTAATATGTAGTGTACTAGTTCCATATCACTGATGCAAAAAGTATGCAAGCCAGAGGCAGTCAGGGAACTAGCATTTTCATAATGAATCAGAATGAAGTCAGCAAGACACATTTATCTGCATGTTTCCTTTTGTAACATTCACAAATAAATATGTAATGGTTTGAGGTCATGATCAGAATAGAAGATATTTAACATTTGGTGGAATTGTGGATGAGGTTAAGGAAAATCAAATATCTGTCTATAAAGATGTTTCACATACATAGTTATAAGTGTTTTATTAGTAGGTCTTTATATAATGCATATAATGTCACTTTTTTGTTTCCAGCATAGTGTTTCCATAATATAGTACAAAGCCCCGCTGTACAACCACTGTTTAAGAAACCTAAAAAAATGTCTGCTTCACTGACAACTGTGTGGAGGGTTGGATGGGGCACGCTCCATTACAATAGAAAGTGTCTGTGGTTTTCTTACTCCTGCAGTCAGGGATAGGGAAGGCAATAAATGGTGCTGCAGGTAAGTACACCTCCAGGTGCCTGTACTGCATACTTGCTAGAAACTAAAAAGAAAAAAAAACAGTCACATTAATGCGCTGCTCAATAAATGAGTACCAGAAACCTCTACCACTCTATTGCTGCCAATCAACATCTAAAGGTGTTTTTTTTTTTTTTTTGAAAGGTTTTATTACATTTTAGAAGTAAATACAGTAACAACATTAGAAAAAGAATACAATGAAGCAGAAAAAACAAGCAATTTCTCCATGTGTGTTGTTGAACACCTGACAATGTGGGATGTGCTGTGATGCTTGCCAGATGCCGCCAGTTGTACGCACAATGTTCATCTGATTCTTTTCTCCTCTCCTTATAACACTGGATGAATATGAACTGCTTCCAGTGGCATTTTCTAACAGGTTGGAAAATCTTCCTCTGCAATATTGAGGGACTGCTCAGACATTAAGACCCTCTAGCACAGCAAACAACATAATAATTAAGTTGAACAGAAAACAGTATAAAGTAGAGGAGGTCCTGACCTTCACTCATGCTACTCACAAATGTTCTTAAAGGCTGTTGTGTCCCTGTTGGAGAGTTGTCTTCCTCACTTTCAACCCTTTAAATGACAAACTTGTTGTGTTGCTCAAACTTACATGTTTATGTGCACAACAGACATTCCCGATGCTTTCCCTAATTCAGAGCAACAATAGTGCTCTGCTAAGCAATGCAAAATGTATCTCATAGGGTAAAGATCATCACTTGAACCACAGATGACCTACCAATGTATATCAGTGCATTAAGATACACAATTAGAAGAAGTAGAAAGTTGTGGATTGTTTGTTTAGGTACCTCAGACTAGATACATGTTTCTTAAAAACAATAACACTTTATTTACATGTACTGAACAAAATCCAGGATGTAAAGATTGTTAAAAACAATATAAAATAAATGAAGACCCCCACTTTCTCCGTATTTACTGTGTTCTTATCAGGCACATATCCTGCTTTAATCTTGGAAAGGTACCCATAAATCTTACAGATCTCTTGAATAAATTGTATTTATCATATGCTGTGCCAGACAAGATCCAGAGAAACTATTTGTTCAACACGTTTCACGACGCAAGCCGCTTCTTCAGGAAATGACGGGGGTATAAATATAAAACTGCATAGACTACACTGCTATAGGCTGAATATAGGTAACCATATAAAACGAATTATTAGATACAAAGCGTATCTAACCATGGCCTTAATCACAGCACAGTCATGCACTTTAAAGACAAGGGCTACCCTCATGAAGCCTTTATCAAGGCAAACATGTAGGGTTGTTTGGAGGAGCACTTTAACTCTGTGGGAATATTAACAGTGACCAGCATCAGAGCATATCAAGGTGAAAGAAGATAAGGGAATTGATATGGGATAGGAAATAGCTAGGTAGGTTAAGAAAGTAAAATGGAGTAGATATCAATGCAGATTGTCTGGAAGGAAAGTATTAAGACATGCAGCCTTATCAATGAGAAGTGTTTTATATATAGTGGCACAATAAAAAGGAGAAGACAGCAAAGATAGATAGAGGTAGAAAGATGTATTCCTTAGAACCTGTCCTGTTATAGTTTATGCTAAGGAAAACGTATCTTATGTGCAATATTAGGGGCAACAGTTATTGTATATTCACCAAATGCAGGTTATATTTTAGTGTGATTATTGGGTTAGATGTGCACTGTAGAGGAATTCATCACTTCCACACACCTTAAGGCAACAATATTTAGAGAGCTTCTGAGGTTTTCAAGGTCTGCTCTTTGCAGAGGGGAGGGGGAAACCAGTGCAGGCAAATGCTTCCAGGCATGCTTAGCTTGTAATATTACAACAACATTTGTAAAAAAAAAAAAAAGAAATTGCCTGTCTGATTGATGTTTTCTCCCCCCCATTTCTAAAAGCTTGATTGGTGGAGGTCTTCCTGCCATCATGGGCATGACTTCATCAGGCTTTTTTGGCCTCTTCATCTCACATTTTTGGGTTGCTTTATCACTATTTTGATTATTTGGGGGTGATTTACTAACCTAAACACACGCACGCACGAGTTTAAAGATAAACTCCAGACAACAAGGGAAATCAACCAATGAACTACTGACACTATTCAGGAAATATTGGTGAAGAAAAGTCAGGAAACATATATGTTCTATAGAAAAATTATGCACACTTTTAGTATTCCTAAAAACTACACTAAATCCACCATTCCTAGCCTTTTTTGAACTAAAGTACATTCTTTCCTTCAGATGCTTTTTACTGCGGTAGGACAGCCATGGACTTCTGCTTGTTTTACACTCTCTGTGGCACTGTAGTAAACCCTCATGGACTTGTATAGGGTTGTTTTTCTTGACCAGTGATGCTTGGAAGATGGCCCTATACGAGTCTATGAGGGAGTACTGCATCAGTGCAACCAGAAACGAAGATAATTTTGCCAGGAGAGGATGTTGATAAGAAGCAGGGTACTGCTGTTTCTTAAAGACAATTCATGAACTGGAGTGCGGATAAGGGGGTGGGGGTAGGGTATTATAGTTCAGGAGGCTAGGGATGGTGTATTTTTAGTAAAGGTACAGCTGTGATCTTAAGGACTACTATTAATACAAATTGGTATTCTGAGGATTGGATGCAGTTAGTAAATGTATTCATAGCATTTAGGATATGAATGCCTTCATGTTTTATATGACTTTAGTTTTATTTTCTCCATATTTACAGTACAAGCAAAGGAAACTGGCAAGAAAAAGTGACAATGATTGCCAGGGGTGCTTAAGCAGTTATAGTAACAGTTATTCTCTGCTACCGGCTATAAACTGCAGGCATCTAGAGATGCTTCCAAATCCCTAAAGCAGACACCAAGCCATGCAACTATACCTGAATTTCAAGCTGTTCATTCTAGGGCAGTGTCAAAGTCCTATCCCTCCCATTGTGTACGGGCTAATCACTATTATTGACTACCTCACTGACTACTATGAATGTGCAGGAGAGCACAATGGCAAGCTTGACAATACCAGGAAATGTCTGAACATTTGCCTAACAGAACAATCTGGGATTTGCTCATAGCAGCAGGCTTGGAGGTTGTTGCAGGTATAAAACGGTGTC